TTCAAACGCGGTGGATTTTATAATGTATTCTACAGAATTCTCATGATGAATTTTGTTTGAAACGATTGCGGTTCGACATCTTTAGAATATTTTCTACATCCTTCTGAAAAGTTTCTATTTAAAAAATACAAATTTTTATTATTATACTTGATTGTATTATGTATTCAATTTATTTTGTTAATCGAGAAGCACGTGTATGATCGAGATAACGACTTTCTCCTATCAACAAATTAAATTGGGCACGCAGTTGCAATTTAATGTCGTATTATCGCGCCGTAGTATCACCATGTATTAGAGCTTGATAAATTAATCGACCAATGAGAATAGATTAATAGAAACCCCGTCACGGTGTTGCCCGCAGCGGGTATCCGCACCTCTTTTCCGTGGCTCGTAGCACACGTTGTTATTATTATTCATAAACCAGTCTATTCTACCCTAATCGAAATCAAGACGCGCCATTAAATTCCGGGGGCCGCGCCCTTTAATCGTCACCCGACAGCGTTACGGGCACGATTTGTCATCCACGAAATTGAGTCGCATCTGCAGAGAGACGCGCGCGTCCGTGATGCTGCGCTTCCGATGACTTACACGAATGCACGCGCAATACACAAACATACAATATGAAAGCTTGCGCGCATGTTGAAACATCCATGAAACGTTACTATGGGGTTGCATACGGATTCGCGACTCTAATACTAGCGCAGGATTCTCGAGGGCGATATAATGCTCGCTGTCGAGTATATACGGGCCACGGACCATTAATATATGGCTGCTGGGGCTATTGTTGCGAATTAGGTGCCATTGAACGACGCATTGTCGGTGACGCCGGGGAGTCCGACGGAGGATGCAACGTGCCCCGCGTACTACCAACCACGTTTTGATAGACTCCGTAAGTGGAGGACCCCCGCCCCCTTTTCCCACGCGCACGAGTCCCTTTATGTCTGTCTGATACACTTCTTCGCCATGCTGTTATAAGTGAGCATGAAATGGCTAAGAGATTAATTGAGCTGAAAAATTCTTGAAGCATCTGTTCAAAGAGATATTTCAATTAGCCTCTCTGTTTAACTTTTCTCGCATAAAAATCCGATAAAAAAAATACAAAATCTAACATAAATAACATATAATAATATATAATAATAAAAGATTTAATATGATATGTATTAAATAATGTATAAATTTTAATTAAAGAATTGTATAATCAAACTAACAAAAATATATAAATAAGTGTATAAAACATAATAGAATGTTTTATATATTATATAAATTATATATTATATATTATGTATTATATTTATTATGTTTTATACACTTATTTATATATTTTATATATTTATATAGTAATAAAATTTATTTTATATAATGTATACTCACATTTTTACTTTTTTATTAAGCAGTAATATTAAAAAAATATTTTATTGAATGCTTGATATAACATATAAAACGTATAACATAAAAAGATTAAAAAGCATTATTAATTTTTCTGAGGAAACGTCCATAAATGTTTTAAACAATGTATAAATAATAATGTTTTTTATCTTATTGGAATTGGAAAATTTCAATTCATTTTTATTAGTATACTACAGAGCTCTAAATTAAACATCAATTCTAGACGGATTATATTGACGTTTTTGGTGTAAATATTTAATTGCCACGATTGCGGAGAGTTGCATTAACTTTATTTGAAACAAAAATATATACAGCTTTGGAAAATTTCTTTTTATTGAAAAATAAAGGAAATGGTTTTGGATGAAGTTTATTCTGCTAGACTTGGGCTGCGTTCGATACAAGATTGTATCGAGGCGCTATCAGTCGGGAGAATCGAGAACCTTGATATAGTTGAATAATCAGTAGATAAATGGTATAAATAAACGGATGTGCAAGAATAGAGACCATGGACACCGACTATTAACTATTATAAATGACATTCTTACAGGAATTCACGTCCTTATTAAGATTTAAGCGATTAAGGCCCGATTGCACCAACGTTATTTTGACTTTAAGCGAAGTTTTAAACTCTCTCCCTTTTTAAAGCCGAGAGGGAGAGATAAAGTTTTAAGCCTCGCTTAAAGTCAAAGTAATATGTTAGTGCAATCGGAACCTAAGAATAAGAAACTGATTATATACTATTAATTTTATGATTTATTAGTTTCATACATTGAAAAAAAATATAGTTAATTTTAATAAATGTTTAGTTGAATACATGCCAACTAAACATTTATTAAATATAAAGATATATTTATTTGATACAAGAAATGTTAATTTGATTTAACAATTATTTTTTTTACTAAACAAATATTTATTTACTGTAAGTAAATATTTAGTTGGCAGTATTGAACTAAATATTTATTAAAATTGACTATATTTTTTTCTCAGTGTAGATATATATACACTGTTCAAAAAATTTATGGCATAGAAAAATTGTGGGCAAAAATTGGCCAACTTTGGCTAACAATAACTTTGCGAAAAATTATCGTAGGATAACATTTCTTTTTTTTAAATTAAAGCTTGAAATCTCTTCTTTAAGGCGCTATGATCAGATTTTAAGTTTGATGCACCCCTGCTATTGTAACTCTCAAAAATGTGAGGGTGTGTTTGTCATATTGAAAATTGCAAAGTTTAACGGAATGCACGGACTTTGTAAAATTTTTTTAGGCAATGCTATATGCAGCGACATAAAGTTTAAACTTTCCTCTTTAATTTAAAAAAAAAACGAATCGCTGCGATTTTTTTTCGCAAAGTTACAGCACCTTAAAGTTACCCTTGTATTTTTTACATGTATCGACATTATCATTACCTGATATGCACCTATACATACGACGAGATTGCTGTCGGATTTTGCACAGCGTGTGTGTGCGTAAATTTCAGTACGTTCTTCGGATGGTATATATACAATACAAATATGAGTAGAAAGTGTTATCAAACAGTACTATTGCACATAAATATTGAGAATGATTGTCACGGACATTGGCGACATTCGGTACAGTATAAAATTTAAACTACTCCCACGATATAGCGCGCTGGGTGCGAGATTAGCGCTCTGAGTGCAGAGACTGCTATTACTAGATTCACACTGCATCCGTACGACACTCTGCAATGGATTTTGCTTCGTATCATCGGAATCCTGTTTTCTGATTGGTTGCAGAGCGTCGAAAGACGCAAATCGGACGCAGTATGAATCCAGCATATGAGTCGTCGCATAGGAAGAAGTTTTTTCTTTATGCAGGATAACGCATGGCCGCATACCGCAGCCACTACTAGCGAGTTTTTGGTGAAAAGTCCAATTAGACTTCTTCCACATCCTGCAATGAGTCCTGATTTGAACCCCATAGAACACATATGGGACATAATGGCTCATAGATTACGAAATTTGGCAAGACAACCGGTTAGTCTCGAAGACTTATCGCAAATCCTAGTTCAAATCTGGAATGGATTCCGCAGGAAGAAATTAGGGCTTGCATTAATATGAGGAATCGGCTGCAAGAAGTAATCGAGCAACGCGGAGACAACACGCGTTATTGAAATTTACGCACACACACGTTGTACAAAATCTGATAGCAATCTCGTCGTGGTGCAAATCAGGTAATGATAATGTCGATACATGTAAAAAATACAAGGGTAACTTTAAGGTGCTGTAACTTTGCGAAAAAAATCGCAAAAACTCGTTTTTTTTTTAAATTAAAGAGGAAAGTTTGAACTTTATGTCGCTGCATATAGCATTGCCTAAAAAAATTTTACAAAGTCCGTGCATTCCGTTAAACTTTGCAATTTTCAATATGACAAATGCACCCTCACATTTTTTAGAGTTACAATAGCAGGGATGCATCAAACTTAAAATCTGACCATAGCGTCTTAAAGAAGAGATTTCAAGCTTTAATTTAAAAAAAGAAACGTTATCCTACGATAATTTTTCGCAAAGTTATTGTTAGCCAAAGTTGGCCAATTTTTGCCCACAATTTTTCTATGCCATAATTTTTTTGAGCAGTTTATATGTTTAAAACTTAATAATTTTAGTCTGAGTTTGATTATCAATAGAGATGATAATCAAACTCAGACATTATAAAATCTCAGTTTTAAATAAATATCGAGTATTATTGAATTTTATAACTGTGGAAAAAAAAAGTTGTAATTCTGCAGCAATATATGAGATACTATACTATTACAAGTGCCATGCATAATTATTTATGCAGCATTTATATAATAAAAAAATCATGAATTTAATTATGTATTATTCAAATATTTCTGTTAATAATTAACAAATTTATATCAATTGTCAATAATGATATCGTTCTTCAATTATACCTGGACTCTCCGGATCCTATCGATAGTCACAAAAATTTATCAAAGCCGTCTCTGTTAATAATTATATCTCATCGGTGATTAACTCAGTAGATTCATTTTCGATTTAGGAACTACATAGTTATGTATTGGCACGATTTACATTAAATCCAAAAACTTGAAAAAAACAATTTTAATAATTTTATAAAAAAAGCAATTTTGATAGCAATTTTATAAAAAAAAAAACAATTTTAATAGCAACTTTATAAAAACATTAAAAGCAGCTTTATAAAAAATAGTTACTTGACATGCTTTTTAATTGTGTTTTATAAGTATTTAAAGAAAGATTCTGGAAATATTTGTAACAAGAAAAAAATTAATAAAATTTTATGGTTTTTATGCATAAACAATAATTATGGAAATAAATATGAAAACATTTATGATGTCATCTTTTGCTGAAATACTAATTTTAAAAGTTATTGAAAAATGTATTATATTTCTCTTTTTAAGTGAATAATTACAATTAGGAAATACGTAGCTACGTATTGGTGATAAGATCGCGTTTGGATATGGATCGAGTTTTTTGCATATGTGCAGTGGATTCATTAGCGAAATATCGACGATATTTTGCGCGATATTTAAACGTTATTAAAAATAAATAAAAAGTTACTATAAGTTTTGTTTACTAGTTAAATGCGTCGTGACGGCACGCGTCTCGAAGCCGATCTGTCCTGTGTCTGTCATATTCTATAAATGAAAAGTGAACGATATTAATATGATGAAGTGGCTTTGTTTCTTGCATGATCAATTTCATGCGCCAAAAGCAATGCAGCAGTGTTACACGTCATGATTTTCGATCGAACGAGTATTGTGAAATATATGATTCGAACAGTGTATGCATACCGAATCTTCTGTATGTATATTACGCGATGGTCAATTATTGCAGTAAATGATAACAAATACAAAGTTATAGGTTCGCTTACCAATTAAATGACTAACAATCCCACTCGTGACACTCGTTCTGTAGCTGATGAATGTCCACCGCGTCAACGTATTCTGTAAATGAGAAATAAACACTATTAATATAGCGAAACGGCTTTATTTCCCACACTGTCAACTTCGCACGTCAAGAGCGACGCGACGGCAGGCTGCGCGACGCAATGCGTGTCCTACTCTTGGCGAATACCGAATTTTATATATAATTACGTGATAATTAAATATTAAAATGAGTGACACAAATTCAAATTTAATATAAATTTCGATTACCTCTTGATCGAATCGCGTTGCTATTTGTTTCGAAACCGGTTTATCTCGTATTCGCCGCGTTTTGAAAATATAACGTAAATGTCAAGCATGGCGAAGCGGCTCGTCTCTCACACGATCAACTTCACGCGCCAAGAATGACGCGACAGCGCGACGGCAATTAATGCGCGTCCTGCTCTTGGTGAATACCGAATCTACAATTATGCGTTTTGAAATACCACAATAAGCGACAAATACAGATTTAACGTTATCACTTGATCGATTCGCGCTGCCACTCTCGGAGCCGGTCCGTTCCGTGTTCGCCGTCGGCGTCACTTTTGGCGCGTGAAGTTGATCGCAATTCGCGCGCTGGAGACGAAGCGGCTTCGGGTGCGTTCCGTTTCTCGCATGATGCGCATAATGCATCGTTTATCCTTGTTGCTCACCAAACGTTAAACAAGGACAATGGATGCATCATGCACATCATGCGCGATACGGAACGCACCATTCGTCTCCAGTGCGCGAATCGCAATCAACTTCATGCGCCAAATGCAACGACGCGGTCGCGCTAAGTATACGTCTTAATTTTCGGCTGAACAATTATTGCGAAATACGCATGCAACTGAATTATCATCGTATAAGTATTGACTATTACGCGTATATTTAAATGTTATGGGAAACTGATCATATTGCGTCGCATAATATTATTTAGATTGTAAACGATTTAAATATTTCAATCATTCTCAAGATATATGTGAATCACAATCTTAATAAAGCATACAAAAGAATTATGGTATATACTTACAGCCGTAAACAATTTTTAAATTTCACTTTATATGAATCAAGATTGAAAGTTACTTATTTACACTAATATAAAGATTTAGCGCGCGTAACACATACAGAGATTAATAATATAAAATTAAATTGTTTTTATAACACATAAGACATTTAAAAAGAACTTGAAATTCTCGGATCTTGAAATTTTCAGATGTTCAATATTACCTGTGAAAATATTCATAAATTAATTAATATAATAATTATTAATTTTACCTCCTTGACAAATTCCAACGATTTCTTTGAACAATTTCTCGTCAAATTTCGCTTTATGTTTCGGTAGAGATAAATGATCTGGTTCTGGAAAAAATCATACAATACAAGAAGGATTACGGTTACATTCAGTTACATTTTTTTTGTTCTTTATGAAAATCGGTAACGCATTCATGATGTGCCGCGGCTCGAAGTGAAACGTCGACGAGTCGCTTTGCGAAAGTGCGCGGCTAGAGTGAGCGATTCAGATCGATCTTTTGAAGAATCGATCTTTTTTATTTTAATTTTCGGTTTTTTTGGATCGATTTTCGTGTCTCGGTTAAATTCACAGATCGATTCTTTCACGGAAAAATCGAATCGAAAATTTCGATTTCGATAGCGAGCGGCGCGAATGTGCTGCTAGAGTATAACTAGAGTTTCTAGAGATAGTGCTCGGGGCTGAAAGTCCATCACTTGATATGTTTTCTGTTCCTGCACTAGACTGTTCTAGAACTCTTTTTCTCGCTTTAAATAAATATCAAATGTATTTCTATCTCACTCTAAGTTCCAAAAGTGTACACTAGTTTAGCCACAGAAAACAGACCTACTGATTCAGGGTGCAAACCCATGCAGCGGAATTGCGTAACGCGGAACGAGAGCAGAACCAATCACAAACATTCCTCAGTTTTCGTTACGCGACTTTGAATTCCTCCATCTCCATGGAGCGGAATGAGCGTAAACGGAATGAACAGCAAATCCATGCATAATCTTTTAAATAATGGTTGTGTTCAGCAGAGAAAACAGTTTTACACACACACAACTGTTGTAAAATTCTTTAATTTTATTGGTTTTGCCCTTAGTTCCTCATTGGATCTAAATGTATAAACCAATCATATTCAAGAATTTTACAACAGTAAAGCTGCAAAGCTGCTTTCTCTACTGAACGCACCCATTGTTTTACAGAGAAAACGGAAGATGCCGAGACGCCGGGATAAGGTAGCTTCTCAAGAGGACAACCAGTTAGAACGTCCGCCGAGAAGATCACGGCGGATTCGGGCTCGAACCAAAGGAACTTGCTGGATTCACACTGCATCCGATGTGCGTCGTACGACGCTCTGCAACCAATCAGAAAACAGGATTCCGATAGATTTTGGTTCGTATCATCGGAATTCATCAACTGCTCAGAGAAAAAGATTTCTTTGAATGTAATAAATTTTATTGTATCCAAATAAAAATTTGTTATTTGGAATGGTCCAAACAAACCAATGGTGCGATTGTTTGAATTTGAAACAATGTACGAGTATATCTTTGTCTTAAATACATTATTTGTTTGACAACAGATAATATCTATTTTCAGTATTCGCGTGATCAACTGTACGACACAAACATAATTGATGTAGCACATAGCCCTGCTCGTTTAATCCTGTTGTTAAACGTATAAAGCCATTGTTTCCATATTTTCGGTCAAAAAATGATTGTTCTAAGAAAGCAATTATTTGCATGGAATAACCGGGAGGATCCCGTTTGCCT